TTATTAAAAAAAAAAAAAAAAAATTTACAAAAACAAGCAGTGGGATGGATTTGGCCCTAAGGCCATATAGTTTGCCAACCCCCAATCTTAGAACTATCTGGAGTTCGTTTTTACCTTCAATGTAACCCTTACCCCCTTTGAATACTGACACTACAGGAAGAAAAATTTTAAGGGAAAGAGAAATTAATCTCTCATTTAGATAGCATGGCTGGCAAAAATAAAAATTATCCAGAGCATCCATTAATACTGCCTTCATTATCTTCCTCTTGCCATTGCTGAAAGCAGGGAGTGAGCTGAGTGTGCAGGTGATGTTCACATACTCCCAAATTAGTGGGCAACATATCTTCCCACTCATAAGTATAGGAGTGCAATCTCTTTTGCCACAGAAGTGTCCCTAGCTACCATTCTCCAAATTCTCATCCAGTCTCAATATCTCAGAACCGACACCTCTTTGCTTTACCCAACTGTGGGCCACATCCAACGACCGTCCCCTCTTCATCCACACTGCTACTGGCACATCAGATGCCAAGAGTTCTACCCTCTGGCACACCCTTTTTATAAAGCTGCTGAATCCTATTCAAAACCTACTTTGGAACAAATACTCATGGCAGAGAAACCTCAGCACCACACAGAGGTTGCATCACTTGGATGCTTCAGACAGGTTCAGACATTTTGGATAAAAACATCATTGGTTCCTAAACCAGAGTACTGAAAATACCTTTAATCCAGAGACCTAGGATGTGAAGCTGTATATTCTGCACCCCCATCCCACTTAATTTAGAGTCATAGTTCCCCAAAAGACAATAAGGTAGATAAGAACCCTGAAGGCTTCCCCACTCCTAACCTGCAGTGTGCTGGGAGAATAAAGGTGAGGCCCGGAAGCGCCTGAACCCACAGTGGAAGATCAGCTCCTCTTTGGCTTTCACAGGTTCAGTGTTGCCAGGGTGCCGGCTCACCACCATATTCAATACTGACATCTGGGGACCAAGTGAAAAACAAAACAAAACTTCATAGTCCAGGAACACAGCCTAACAGCGTAACCCGAAAGAAAGTAAACCAAATAGCAGCCTCACGTTCACTTTAGGAACTGACAATACTAATTAATGGTAGAGTGTAGGTGATGGGACACCAATTTGTCCTTCACCTCTACAAACATCTGGCATTCAAGCCAAATACTGGCTAATTTCCAGAGCTTTCATGCATCCTTCCAGGGTCTAACATGCGAGTGTTCAACATCTGCCAGTCAATGGCCTTCAAGTCATTCATTTACCACACACCTCAAACCACACTGATTCAAGTCCCTTCCTCCCCAATCCTTAGCCAAACCAACCAAAGGCTAGAGTTTTCACACACCCCCTAACCTACATGACTGCTGGCCAAGGGAAAAGAATCTGCACCTTGGCATAAACGCTTCATTTTTAAGGCTGCCAACTCTTATTCAAAATCTGATCTGAAAAACATACTTATCTCAGAGAAGTCTCAGAACCACAAACAGATTGATTGCATCACTGAGATGCTTCAGACAGGTTCAGACATTTTGGGTAAAACCATCATCGACTTCTGTATTATTCCCTGATTTCTAATCCTAAAGGCAGAATTTTTATATCCCAATGAGCAAAATGTCAATCTCATAAACAAAATTTAGACTAAGTCAGACAGAACTGGTTGGAAAGTTCCATAATCCCCATTTCACCTTCTGTTCATAAGGTAGTAGGGAAAATGCAATCAAGGGTGCTCCTTGCTTGAAGTACTCAACCACTGATACAGGGACTTCAGAGACATGAAGTGTGACGTACCAGCCAACCTGCCAGAAGAAAGCACAAAACAATGACAGGGTTATCCTTAAGGTTCCAATGATGATGAAGCAAAAGTTTTTTCCAAATGTGTTAAAAAGTCGGGAGTATCCTAAAGCCAGCCCTCTCCCTTCAAGAGTGCCTTTCAGTTAACATCTCTGATACCTCTTTGTCCCCAAATCACTCTTATCAGTGACTCAATGGCTCCCCTAATTCAGCTATGAGCAGCACAAAACTAATAAAGTACTCATCCTCATGCCAAAAAAAGGAGTAAACTAGGGGGCACGTTGGCAAAAAAAATGCAAATTATAGGAACGGACAAGGGAAGGCAGATACCTCAGCCCCTTCAACTTCTTTTTCCTCAATCTCTTTAAAGATGCGTTTTCTAGTATTAGTAAAGTTCTGAAACTGAAAGATCCGTGCATAATCTTGAGGAAGGTTTTCCTTAGGATCCCATGGAGATGTCCGGAAGCTCTTGAGGCCTCTGTATTTCTGAAATCTAGAACATAGATTTTAAAAAAATTAACAAGTCAGATTTATATGGTGCTATTTAACCCTTTCACTCAGTCACTTCTAAAATGGCTAACGCTCTATCTCAAAAGAACTCTACCCATCATCTCTCAAAATAAGCTAACAGCCTAAACCAAGACCACATTTCCAAACAGCCTGTAACAAACATTTCAGAACCAAACCCAAGATTCTCACTAAGGATAAAGTATATACAGTGGCTCCCTAGCGCTGCCCACGGAGTGGCTCTTTAACTGCCAAACAAGTGCCTTGATAAATGCCCTACCTCTCTAATATCCAACATAAATAACTGGCTTTGGTCAGATTCATCTCCAGAGTAGACATGATCTACATCTTCGTGCTTTTACTCTTGCTGTTCTACCAACCCCCCCCCCAAAACTCCAAACATTACACTTCAATTGAGTATTAGCTCCTATACGAAGCATTTGCTAATTAACCTTAGTATTTCTCCTCACTGAAGTCCTGTAAAATTGTTAGTCTGTAGCACACAACCTAGAGCTTGATTATTTGTTGCTGTTGCTTGTATGTATGTCTTGCCTTTCCATCTAGAACGTTAGCCCTTCAGGGGCAGACACCATGTGTTTTTCTTCTTTTGCATCACACTGACATAGTTCTGAGCCACGTAAGTTTTAAATAAAAATGTGCTGATTGGACTTAGTCTCAATGACTAACCGAATTCTAGCAGCCACATCCCGGGGGGTGTCCACTTCATCTGGAAACATCTCTTCTAGTCTTTCTTGTTTATATTTCTCCAACATCTTTTCCTCAGCCTCTTCATCTACTTTCTCATCATATAGATCATCATGCACAGATTCTCCTATAGTCATAGTTTCACATTCCTCCTCTTCTTCCTTTTCACTGCTCTCATCCTGTAGAATAAAGGATTGCAGTTATTTTAGAAGAAACCCATACCTGCCTCTACAAAAGGCTTTAAACTAAGGATAAAATCCTTTTACTAGATACCTAATCTCAACCAATACCAATTCTAACATAGACTCAATTATAAAACAAAAGTTTCATTCTTTGCAACTATAAAGTCATTCATAAGAAACTGACTGCCCCCGCCTCCCCAGCCCCCACCCCCCACACACTTTAAGGTCAAGATTGTATTTTGCCTTGCATTTAGGGGCTGTATAGAGTGGCCCAAGGGCTCATTTCCTCACCTGAGATTCCTCTTCCATAAAATCCTCATATTCTGTATCATCATATTCATCTCCTTCCCCCCCACTTTGACCATCCTCATCCAAAATCCATTCAGCCTGGTAACTGGATGTTCCTTTGGGGACCTTCTTCACTATCTTGGAACTTTCTTTCAATAAGTCTGTAAAAGCCCAAACCAGTTAAGTAAATTATATACCTCCTTTTCCCAATTACTCAGGGTATCCTCACCTAGGCAAGAAGGTAGATATTGTTGCCAACATCAGAAACTCTAACAGACACTATGAGTAGAACAGACCACTTCCAAATTTAATTCAGCCACCTCAAAGCTAGCAATACTTACACCACTAAATAAACCTTGGAATGACTCCAAAATTATTTATCTGTTCATTCTAAAACAAGAACAAATAATTTTGAGAAATGGAACAAATCTGTTCAATGCTTAATGTAAACATACAGCATTTGGGGACAGGGAAAGAGACAGACCTCCAAGTGCATCCTCACCCCACTCTAAGATACAGGGTCCTCATTGTGAGCAGCTACACAAAATCCACAATTCTAGACCAAATAAATTACAAACAAGTTTGCCAATACCAACCATTCGCCTCACTCAGCTCCTCCTCAGTGGGCCAGGTCTGCTCCCCCTCCATTGGATCTGGGATAACCTCTGATTGCAAAGATTCCTGTCTATCAGGGTCTGCTTTCATTAGGACTTTAAGATCTTCCTCCATATCAACTACAGCATCGGTAGCACAAATCTGAAAACCAAAGCAACTGATGATCAGTCAAATATTAACCAAAAAGCTACTAAACTTAACACAGTAACCAAAAAGCTGTAGACTAAATGAAGTCTCAAGTAGAAAATAAAACAATGAAACAGAAAGCCAAAACTTGTCAAAATGTTTCAAATGGCTCTTTCCTAGTGTTTTAAATCTACACTTAAAAAGCTTGGCTTTTAAAGTCTTTCATAAATCTGGCCCTTCTCCTACCCAGCCAAGTCACTCCCATCAAGCTGATTTCTTTAGAGTTCAAAGAAACCCTCTGACCCATAACTGTGCCAAGGTTCATGTTATCCCCATCTTCTAGGATATTCTGTCATCTCTCTTCAACTCATAAATAATATTCAGCCTATTCAACATCTTGCTCAAATCTGATCTCTGTGATGTTTGCTAGTCTACTTTCTCAACTTCCACAGCAGGTCTGTACCTTAGCCACATACTCTTCCACAGGTGTGCCACTTTTGGAGGAAGTGACAACACGTATGTCTTTTATAAACTCAGAGCCAACTGAAGTGCAGGGCACCTAGAAAGTGCTGGATAAAGAGTTGATTTATCAACATATTTTTAGTTAACTATTGCCTTACTTCCAACTAGAAATAGCCTCCATTGGCCTAAGTGTGCAGCCTACCTTCTCTGAACTTAGTTCTAATTCTGTACCAGTTCATGTATCAATCTACAATAAATGGTTTTTAAGAACATCAATCTTACCTCCATGGCCATGCCCTGGTCCTTTTGAGATTTAATCACTCTAGGATTTAAAGGAAAAGGGTCCATGGGGGCATCTATCTGTTTCATCTGGAAATCACCATGTCCAATGATATGCAGCAAGCTATTTACATTTAGAGTCTGTCCACGAACGTAACCTGAGACTTTCAAAGTGCCAACCAAGTTATTTTCCTCACTAGGCACAAAGTCAGCAGCATGGGCAAACAGGTAGGCCCGCCGATCTCGAAAGGCAAGATGCCGTTGCTTTTGGTTAGCCAACTGCCTGAGCAGCATCCCTGCCTCCTGCTGAGTGTCTAACAGGAGGAGTTTGTCATCAGGAAAGCGCTTCTCCACTGCTTTACTTAGCTTTTTTCTGGCATCTATTTGTTTCTTCGGTGGAAGGCCAGAAACTCCCTGGACAGCTAGTGCTATGAGCAAAAGAAAAAGAGCTTGATGATCTATTGTTTCACTATACGCAAATCCCCGTGCAGTTCACAAACTAACGGTTCAGATGTTAGCCCAGAGATCATTGGGAAACCCAGCGATCAGCTACCCTAAAGACATTTCACCATGAAACCAAACTTCACATTTTTCTTCTTCCTCTGGGCAAAGGACAGACTAAAAATAAAAAGGAACACTGGCAGATAATTTGTTAATAATGGACCAAGCTTACGCCATATATGTACAACCTCCCACCAGCTGTACAGGGTATTCCTGTATCAAATGCCAGGCAGAGTCCTGGCAGATTACAGGTGCTCAATAAATGCTAATTCGCATCTCTCTGCGGCCTCCAATACTCCTAACTCACTTACTGTAAGTGGGAAGGCCCTGAGCAAAGAGGCAGGAAAGGCAGTAATCCCCAGTGCTGTCCCAGCCTTCCACTGAATCAAGGAGGAACAGGATGGTATCAGCCACTTTAGCCACGTCTAACACAGTGTGCAGATCCCCTGGAGATAGAACAAAAAGTCGGTAAGAAGTGGTTGGCACCACATTTAAGAAAAAAAAAAATTACCACTACTCAAACATAATGATAGTAATACCCTAACCTGGCTTTGCAGATGTAAAAAACCACCGATGTTTTAACCGCGGGCACAGGAGCATAAAACTACTGGTGCTGCCCCATTCACTTAGGTGTACTGTTCCAGTGTCGCTGTCCTGAAGCAGCCGAAAGGCCTCTGGCAGGGAAATCCTGTTGTGCAGGGGCACCACGAGTACGTGATGGGGAGGGCCATCCTTGCTGCCCAGTTGTCTCTTCTCTGCCAGAACCTGAGGGTCGGGAGGTTCAGACAGCATCTCAATGCCTCGGCATTTCGTTCTAGTATTGCATTTCCAACACTACAGTTGCTCCCCCTAACCAGCATCACTCTTGTAAAAGGAGGTATGCAAGGAGGGTGGCAGGAACTCGGATCGAAGCAAAGAATGCCCCAGTGCGGGCATAGATCTTCAGGCCCGACATGTGCTCTGTCGCCGTCCCCTTCCCAGGGTCACGTTTTCTAGTTCGAGGCTTTACCAGCCTAGAACGGTTGTAAAGCCACACCATTGCCCAACTCCCGCTCCTCTCACCGCCTCTTTTTTCTGCTTCCGGAGCTGGCTGGCACGATGCCTCTGGTCTACTCGGCTGAGCTCTTTTCTCACCTTCTTGCTTAGAGTTTTCACTGCTAGACGGCCTGGAGGGCAGATCAGAAAGGGCTCTAGCGCTCTGCATCAGAAAAAGGTCAAGAAAGAGGACCCGTCTCCGCCCACCCTAGAAAGGAACTTTTACACGGCGCCCAGGTCAGAGAGAGGTCACTTTGGGCATGGGGAAAAGTAGTTAATATTGGATAAACAGCCATTCTTTCTCCTACCCTATCTTCTCACCCTTGCCGTCTCGTTGCCCGGATCCCCGACCCCGATGCCGCCCGCCTTTATGAGCTTTATTCTGCTGCTTCAGCGGACCGGAGCGGTGAGCCGCCATGCTGCCGCTCACGTGTAAGAAATCAGCACTACTTCCGGGGCGGACTGAGCATTTCCGCTCCCCAGCATAGGGGCAGGCCGGGGGCGGGCCGTCTCCGCGGAGGGGCAGGGCTTCCTTCAGCCTTTCGCTAGGGTCCTTCCTCCCATTGTTGGTGTGCGAGGTGTCGGCCTGTCAGCCAAACCGCGGTGTTAATTTTTCCCACGTGGCGGTCTGCGGTTGGGGCTTTATAAAAACTTCGCATTTAGGCTTTTGTGGTTCGGGGTCTCGGTCCAGGAGAGGTGTTTTGTTCTCCTGTGTTTTCTTTTTTTGTGTGTTATAAAGTTGTATCACGTAAGAAGATGTTGAATGGGAGTCCGTCCCTTCCTGCCGCGGAGGCTTTAGCCCCTCCTCGAACTTAGATTTGTGCACGCCGCTTTTAAGTTTGCAGCAGCAGGTGTTCTTTGTCACTTTGAAAAATCTTCTCTCCCTCAATTCCCCTTGCAAGGCTGCTGAAGTTTCCAAGCTGAATCGTGTGGAAGCGCATCTCACCTTCACCGGCTCGGTACAAACTCCCGCTAGTCCCTGTTACCCCACCCCGCGCCCCTACATCCCACATACCATCAGGAAGAGCCAGACTAGACGTGGCGAACCCGAGGGAGATGGAGAAGACTGGCTGTGTGTGACGCTCGTCCCCTCAGGGCCAACCGAGCCTTTTCTGGCTCGAGGCGACTGAATGCCCATTCCTCTTCCCACAAGCCTTGCAACTGAGGGCGATCGACCTGGCAGGGGTACTCAGAGGAACACATAGAGCTCTGGCTTTCCCGTGGTCAGACCTGTCCCGCGGAGGCCCAATGCCCTGGCCCCAGCCCTGGCAGCGCCCCCGCTCTTTTCCTTCCGGTCGGGAGAATTAGCGGGCAGAAGTAAGGGGGCGTCTAGCTGGGTTGAATCCACCCCTGGCCCGGGCGACTTTCTCCTCAGCGAACAGCCGGCGGGAGTCCGGGACCCGCCCCGAAGCCCCACCCCACGCTCCGCTTGGCTAGCTGCGGGCGCTCATAATGCAGGTTCGCGCCCTCGAGGCAGGAGCAGGCGCGTTGCCATGACAGCAGCCCGCTCCGGGGCACGCCACCCCAGGCGCGCGCCGCCTCGCGGTGTCTCGACCCCCCTCGTCGCTGAGCGCCGCCCTCCCCCGCCCCCCCGCGACCCGCGGCTGTGGGAAGGGGCCGGGCCAGCCGCCTGACGTCTGTGCGGGGCTAAGAAGATGGCTGCGGAGCCGAGCACCGGGCAGTGGCGGCGGTGGCAGGAGGGGAGCGCGGCGGGCGGGGGCTCTGCCTTGCGCGTGGGGCGTTGAGCTGAGAAGCGCGGAGGCGGCGAGGGCGCGCGGGGGACTTGGAGGGTCGCTCGGCACCGCCTCCCCGCCAACCTCCGCACCATGGGCAGCGCGGAGGACGCAGTCAAAGAGAAACTGATGTGGAACGTGAAAAAGGAGGTAAAGTCGGGACAAGGACCCCAGGGGTCTCGCGCCCCGGCCCGCGCCGCCCAGGGGGCGAGAAGGCTCTCGCGGGCCCTGGCCTGGGCCAGGCGGGGTAAGGTTCTGGACCGGCTGCGGCTCCAGCCTCCCTCCCGAATTGAGGGGCAGCGCCCCTCGGCCCCAGGAGCCAGGCCGGAGCTCCGGGGCTTATTTGCTCCGTGATCCCGCAGCTCCCCGCCCTGTGACGGCAGCAGCGCCGGGAGACCGAGGTCGGGGGAGGGGTGGCGGTGATTTCTGGAGAACCGCAGCTGCCCATTCATTACCCGTGCCGCCAGGGGAAGGAGCGGGGTCCCGCGCGGCCCTCCTGCGACGATAAGCGAGTGATTTGGGGGCTTAGCGCCCCCTTTCTCTATCCCCCTCCGCTTCCAGTATCCCTCTGGGAACTGAGCTTGGCTGCTGGAGGGTTCGCTGCACACCTCACTGCTTCTCTCTCCACGCCCACCTCCTTACCCAGGGAGCAGTTTGTTTTTTTTTTAAGAATGGTTTTCAGGACTCGATTTTTTTTCTCTTTGGAAGGAGGCCCCCACGTCAGAAAGAATCTTTCCCTCTACTAACCCCCTTTACGTTGACCCAACCCAAAAGCTCATTTCAGGAGAGGGGAGGTTGCCCATATGAATGACTCACCCCCATTTTAGAGCTGGAGGGCTTAAACCTGCAGAGTTGGGTAGAATGGATTAGGCCTCTGGAGCCATGAGCTCCTTCCACCGCTTGTCTCTTTGGCGATAGTCTGACAGATGTGTAAACTGTATGTTTTGTCCACTATCCATCCAGTGCTTGGCACACAGTAGACACTCAGTGACTATTTGGTAAATAAATCTGCTGATCTTGGAGACTGCAAAACATGGTGGAAAAGCATAATTTTTGGAATAGTCTGGACCTAGCACTGTGTGACCTTGAGTAAGTTACTTAACCTCTCTGAGTGGCAATTTCTTCATATCTAAAATAGGAAAATGTTACCTACCTCATATATAAAAGTTTACCGTATTGATTCCTTTACTCCTTCATAGAGTTTCAGTGTTGAGGAAGACTCTCGGTTCCAATAAAATCCTGTAGAGCTTCAGATGGTTCTCCTTCAACCATGTCCTGACTACTCTCCCCTAGCATTTGTTCCCTTCCCTCTCCCTGACAAAGAAGTGGCTGAAACCGTTACCTCTCCAGCTGTGTGTGAAAAGCTCCATTGTGCCTTTGCTGTGGAGTGCCAAGGAAGGGTTTCTTAGGCCAGGCGTATAAGCCCCAAGTTTTAAACGTCAACTTTGCCCTCCCCAAGGGAAAGAGAAATCTTGGTGCTTGTCCTCAGAAAGCAAGCAGTCTGGTGTCAGAGACTTACACAAACAAGAACAAAAAAGTAGCTGTTACTGTACCTAAGCTATAGCCAAACATCCTAGGATTGCTGATATGATCCAAATTATCTATACTACTCCACGAATGATTCCTAAACAAATGTGAGAAATGTCCAGAATATGCTGCAGCTGTGTATCTTACCAGGGCACCCTGATGGCACAGTGGTGAAGAGCTTGGCTACTAACCGAAAGGTCAGCAGTTTGAACCCACCAGCCGCTCTGCGGGAGAAAGATGTGGCAGTCTGCTTCAGTAAAGATTTACCGCCTTCGAAACCCTATGGGAGAAGATCTGCTCTGTCCTACAAGTAGTACAGGGCTGACCTTTCACAGAGGACCTTGGCATAATTGGAGGGGCCTCTGTAGGTCCTCCTAACCCAAAAATTTACCCACCAGACTGCTTCAGATGCCTGCCGTCCTTTGAGTTGTAACACTATGCTCTGTTTAACGTAAGCACTCCTTGGGAAGTAATCTAGGAAGCTATTAACAGTTTAGAGTACATGAATCGATTTGATGCTGTTTTACCTAACTGCTAGCCATGAGCAGTTTTCAGCAGGGAGGAGGCTCCAAGTTCTTCCTCTTTCCTCCCCAGGCCTTAGGGGCTGTTCTACCCTCCAAACTGTAGGGTACTGGGCAAGGGCCTTGGGAACTGTGGCAGCATCAGGACACTGGATGTCTTGCCAAAGAATGGCAAAGACTAGCTTACCTTATCTCTAAGATTTATGCTGGGATTGAGGTAATCTATCCCTCTAATCTCCAGTATTACTATCTGTCTCCTGGCATCCCTGCCCCAAGTTCCCCCAGGACATCAAAAGTACTTGGCTGAAGTTTTGGGAGTAGCTAGAATCTCATACACTGCTGGTGGGAGTGTAAATTGGTACAACCACTTTGGAGGGCAATTTGGCAATATCTAATAAAGCTGAGTATATGCATCACCCAGAAACTCCATGCCTGCAAGTATAAATCAAAAGAAATGCATACATATGTTTACCAAAAGGCATGTCCAGAATGTTCATAGCCATCACTATTCATAACAAACCCCAAAATGGAAACAACTCAAGTGCCCATCAATTGTGGTGTATTCACACAACAGAATACAGCAATGAGAACTACCAGTCTACAGTTATGGACAATAACGTGAACAAAGCTCACAGTCACACAGGTGATCAACAGAAACCAGTTACAAACCCTGCACACTGTGTGAATCCATTGAAAAAAAGCACAAAAACTGGTGAGGCTTATCTGTGGTGTTAGCAGTCAGCATAGTGGGTACCCTGGAGCAGAGGATGTGACAGTATGGTGAGAGGGAAGCTTTGAGGAGCAGGTCATGTGCTGCTGTGTTTGATCTGGATGCTGGTTTCACAGGTGTGTTCAGTCTGAAAATTCAACAAGCTGTATAATTATGATCTATGCCCTTTCGGGGCAGTTCTCCTCTGTCCTGTAGGGTTGCTATGAGTCGGAATGGACTCAACAGCAGCAGTTTTTTTTTTTTTTTTAATGCCCTTTCTAAATGTTTACTCTGCGTCAATAAAGTAGTTTTTTTTTAAAAATGCTTAAAGGAAGAAAGAGGTCACTGCTCACCTCACGAAGTATTTGGAAGCTTTTACATGCAGACAGGGACCTGAAACATCAGGGTTTTAGAACCTTAATAAAAAGAAGTCAAGGCTTGTGAGCACATGGAGAGTGTCCCTGAGGCCTGGACAGATCTAGCCCCTAACCTCAGAGAAGGGAGAGAAAAGGAGGGGCAGGTTGTTTATCTACAACCTGTACTGAGACAGTTTGTCTCTAAAGAACAGTGTGTCTGCCCAGAAGCCCTTCTCCAGCTGAGTCCAGATGAGCAAACAGCATCCCATCCCAGTTTTCCACGGCGTGGCACTTCCTCCTGAGCTGGAACACTTGTACTGATTGTTTGTTGGGATTATGGCATTTCTTTTCCGGGTTGCCTCCCCAGAAGGCTTGGGGCAGTCTGTGCTGAAGAAACTTTGCTTCCCCACTTCCCCATCCCTATCATTGACTCTGTGCTGTCTGAACCCAGACTAGGAGAGCAGAACCAAGGTATTTACTTGCATAGAGGCCTTTGACCAGGAAAAAATATGTATATAATAACGATGATGCCCGTTTGTCCACAGGTGAAGCAAATCATGGAGGAGGCTGTCACCAGGAAGTTTGTGCATGAAGAT